AGCTGACACTATGAAGTGAGGGTGTGCTATGTGTCAGGCACTGTGCTAGATGCTAGGCGTGGGCTGTCACCTCACTGAACTCTTACAGAAGTCCCCTGACGTAGGCATCAGGCACACAGTGAACATGACACTATGTGCCAGACGCTGCTCTGAATGCTTTGCAGTAGCTCATTACATCTTCACAAAGCCTTCTGTCTACACAAGAGGAAATGGAAACACACGTGAGTGATGTGTTCAAGTCAGAGAGCTAACGTGGAACTTGAACCCATGTAAAGTTACACCACAGCCTGAGCTTTTCACTGTGCTGCTATTCTGCTATTCTGTGTGTATTGCATGAATTTTAGAGTTGAGTAAAACCAGGATCAGAGAGTTTGAGAAATTTGTGCAAGATGGCGTGGCTAGCAAATACAGAGTTGGTTTCCAACTTTAAAAGCTTTGAGCTTTTTAATAACTTGGTGCAACTTCTTCACAAGCTAAGGGAGGAGAGAACTTCAGGGACAAGTGTGTTAAAACAGAAAGCATGCGTAAGATTTGACAACACGGAGGCTACCAGCACTACATAAGGTGGGTCCAGCGGTGCCATGGGGAGGGGTCAGGGTTTAAAGTCTTGGGGAATGAAAGGCTGACAAGGAATGCAGATAATTCTTTCAGGGAGTTTAACCACAGAAAGAAGACAAGACATGGAAAAATAGCTATAAAAAGGAATGTGGCATGTAAAACTGTATAAAGATGAGAAAGACCTATAGGTATTTGTGTGCTGAGAGAGAATGGAAGAATGAAGTTACTGGTGGCATGGAATTGGTTTCCAACCTCTGTGTTCAGTAGACTTCAGTCAGGGTCTCTGACTTTGACCAACTTTGAGCCTTTCAAAGCTGAGAAGCTGAGCCTGAAAGTCAGTGATGTCACTAAAGCACAGCCAATAGCTGTTGAAGTCCATCTCGGCTGGGACTGGGCAGGGCTCTGTAGTAGACTTGCCTTCCTTGACCTTACTAATTGGGAAAGTAAGTTTTGTAGCCATCATGTTGTTGCTGAGGGTATACTCTACCAATTGATCACAGATGTGTTGTAAGCAAAATATAACTAGATTTTAGCATCGTGTTTGGATATGGAGCCAGAAGATGAGCTTATGCTGATCTGGGCATTCCCTCTGTCATTGAAGATGAGGGCAAATCCTCTAGTCACTTCCATATATTCAGTAAAGCACTTTCCCTGGAACACAGCAGATGCTCAATTACCATCTGTTGAAATAAACTAAAGTGGGTTCAAATTCCTATCCTATCACTTATTAGCTAGTTTGAATATTAAATTTCTCTCAAAAACCCATATGCTAAAGGCTTGCTTCCCAGTCTATGGTGCTGTTGGGAGACGTTAGAATGTTAGAGAGGTGGGACCTAGGGAAAGGAAGTGTGGTCACTGGGGATGTGCCTGTTATCATGAGCCAGCTATGCCATCAACATGGACCAAACATGTTTGCGCCTTTCCGCAATGTCAGAATTTGTTGAATAGCAATAAATTTACAGGTTATACCACTTTCATTGATGGCAGTTCACCAAATACTTTGTGGGTCACCTAAGAGTCACTAGCTGGGCAATCATAAGTTCTTTTATTCCAATCTTAATTTATAATAATACTCAATATAACTTAATTTGTTATGATACTCAAGTCACATATCATACTTTACAGTGTGTATATATATGTTACAGAAAGGTTAAGAAAGGATTAAGGCCACCATAAAGGTTCAGGAGGCTAAATTGAGAGTAAAGACAGATACAAATGCAGAGAGTCACTGTTGGTGGTCAGGTAAGTTTATGAACCAGCTAGCTTTTCAGGTAAAGAGCTGTTAAAGCACAGGAAATGAGTCTAGGTCAAGGTCCAAAAGGATGGCAGTTGCAGACCATTAGCTTGAGATGTCAGCTTGGAGTGGGTCCTGCATAGTTGTCATAGGTAGGAGAAACCATGCTCTGTTGAAGCCCAAAGACAGAGATTTGGAAATTCATTGCTGTGGCAATTTTCTTGGGCAAGGCTCAAGACAGGGAGTGACTAGGAGATTGGGTCAGGGTGCTGCCATGTCCAGGGGTTCAGGTGCTCCTCCTTTTATGGGTCTTGAATGAGGGGTTATGGTATGTTCAATAAGGTCTTGGGCCTGGTTTTTCCAGTATGAGTTTGATACACCCATGCATGCATTCATGTGCTTCTGATTAATTCAATAAGTTCACAGGTGGCCATTTTTATTAGCATAATTGATTTATCAGTTTGTGTTTATGGTTGTGCCAGGCAGATGGTCATTTCTTACTTGTACAAACAAAGTGTGGAGTCATTCAATCTCTATACTTAAACTCAAAATGGAGTCGCTGATGGCAAACTATTGCTTTATAGAATAGAGTAACACAGTTTAGGAATAATCCGAGAACTACTGCTCTATACATTGTGGACTAACTCAGAGCAGGGCACAACCTGCTTTCCATGCTCTTGAAAGAGATGTTAAGACCCTCTTCCAAGCCCCTCTGGTCTTTCCCTTCACTTTCCAGATGCCATGAGCTGAGTAGCTTTGCTCTACTGTGCACTCTCTGCCATGATGTTCTGTCTTGCACAGGTCCAAAAGCAACCAACATGTCAACCGACCATGAACTGAAACCATGAGCCAAAATAAGTCTTTCCTTCTTATAAGTTATTTAACTCAGCTATTTGTTACAGCAACAGAAGGTTGACTAATACATACCCTTCCACTTCTCTGGAAGCTAATGACCCCATCTATGAGCTAATGACTTTCAAATCTCAATCACTAACCGTGTCATCTCTCCAAAAGTCCAGCCCTAGCTAACTAGCTAGGTGCCTCCTGGACTCTTTCACTTGGACATATCATAAGTAACTCAAAATTACAATGTCCCCACCTGAACTCATTGTCTTCTCTTCACAAACCTGCTCCTTTTCTCAGAACACTACCTTCATTAATGGTAGCACCATCTGCCTATGTACCCAAGAGGAAGACACTAAATGTCATTCTTTCCTCCCTTCCATTTATTTGCTTATGAAACCCTGCTGACTGTAGCTCAAAAATGTCCCAAATTTGTCATCTCCATTCCCATGCCTTCTGTTACTTCAGACCTTCATCATTCTTGCTAGATTATTACATCCATCTCTAAGTCTCTCTTCTTCCTTCAATCTTTTTGTTTGTTTCAAAACAGCCAGATGGCCATAACCAAATGTATCTGTCTTAACTTGGGCATAATTATATTATTTTCTTCCTTAGAAACACTGAAATCTCCCCATTGCCTTAAGGACCAAATTCCTAGACAATTCCGAGTGCCTGTCATAATCTGGCCCCAACTGCCCTTTCTAGCCTCATGTGTTATACAACTGGCCTCTCTCACTGGACATGTGCTCCACTTTAGCCACTCAAAGTTGACCGCTCTTCTCCAAACAGAACATACCTTCTCTTCTGTGCAGAACTGGTCCAGAATCTTTCCCAACTTCTTATTGAGGGTGCTCCTTCACCCGGGAGCTCTCCAAAACCATTCAAAGTCCAGCCCCTGCCTCATCTCCCCTGAGTATCTGTCCTGGGGACCCCTGGCAGAATCAACCACTCTCTAGAACAGGTGAAGAGAATGGAGATCACTTAAGTATTTAAGTGAGATATGGCTGGACTTTCATTTGATTTAATTAAGCCTAAATAAGGGACCATGCTGGAGGCACCCAAAGACAAAGATATTTTCTAAATTTCACTTAACTTTTGGGTTCTACCTTAGAGATCTAAATCACAGTAATTTGGGAAGCCTCAAAACTGGGCTAGATTATCTTCCTATATTGTTTATGTTTATTTGAGGCACAGACTTTTCAGTTAGTGCTTTCTTCAGTTGTTGGAACACTAGCTGCCTCTCTATTAGACTGTACCTTAGGGGATGGCAGGGATTGTGTCTGCTCATTTTAATCTCCTCAGAATTTAGCTTACTCTCTATCCACTATTAGATGCTCTGGAAATAGTTGTTTAATTAAATTGAGTGACATATTCCTCCTTTCATAACTCAGGAGGATAATGAGCACATAGCTAGCACTCAAATATTTATAGACTGATTGAACAAATGCAAGTATTCCGGGACTCAAGGAGTTCATAGACTACTGGGGGGCAGGGGAGGAGGAAGACATCTAGGGCCCTTCCAGCTCCAGTCTGTGGCACACATTGGTCTCGGGTCCATCAGGACAGAAACAAGAGAGGCAAGTGGTGAAGTTCATGGCGCATTCGCTTGGACCTTATCGAAAAGCGAAAAGATGATCAGTGGAATTTCTTAGTGGGAGGAAATCTGAGTATGGGAACCAGAATCAGGAAAGTCTGAGAGGAAGAAAATGGAAAGCATGATCTGGAGGGGGAGGGCAGAAAACTGAGGCCGAAAGAGCAAGGAGGGAGGACAACTCCAACTCACAGTGGGGCTGGGCTGGGGAGGAAGCTTCGGTCCTGCTCTGGGTCAGCCCCTGGGTCCCAGTGAGAGCGTGGGCCGGGTACTGTGAGCCGCCCTCCAGTTGGTACCAGAGGGGTGGCGCCTTAGGAATGGGTGGGTGCTGCGCGCCACCCACTCGGGGCCAGGCCAGGGCAAGCGGGGAGCTCTCCCCACCCCTATCCCCCCGTAGTGTCCTGCAGGCAGGGCGGGGCCCAGCGCGGGGTTGAGTAGCTGACCCCGGAGGGATGACTAAATCTTGGCTGCGAGCAGGCAAGACAGGGCTGGAGCGTGCCAAGTTATGAGACGACGACGATAACTCGGCCCCCAGTGTCTGGGGTCGTGCCGGGACCCGGAGGGGCGCGGCGGATGCCTGGAGTGCCATAAAAGGGGCCGCGCGGCGCGGGGACCGCTTTCTGCTGGCAGCGCTCCTAGCGGGCGGGCGGCAGCTGGGGACAGTCAGCCGTCCCGGCGGACAGAGGCTACCTGGACGGCCACTGCGCCCGGACGCGGGCAGGCGGACAGAGCGATCCCGGTTCCAGCGGACGCCGGCAGGACGCGGGGCCCTCTCTGGGGACAGTCAGGTGCGGGCTGGGCTGGGCGGGGCCGCGACGCCAGCAGGTGGGGCAGCTCCGATTGACCCCGCATGGCGGCGGCGGCGTGCGAGCCGATGGCCAGGCCGAGTCTGACCTCCATCTCGTCGGGGGAGCTGCGCAGCCTGTGGACGTGCGACTGCGAGCTGGCCCTGTTACCTCTGGAGCAGCTGCTGCGCTTGCAGCCCGGTGCCTTCCAGCTGCGCGGTGACCAGCTCGTGGTGCCAGGGCCGGAGGAGCCCGCGGTCGCGCGCGGTGGCTTCAATGTCTTTGGCGACGGCATAGTGAGACTCGACGGGCAGCTCTACCGCCTCAGCAACTACATCAAGAGGTGGGTGATCTTGCCGCGCGTCCTGGCCAGCCGCCTGATTCCCGAGTACTTCTCTGCTCTATCTTGGACCCTGCGAGCCCTAGCTATCCCGTCTGTCCCCAATCCCGCCTGGACCCTTCCCGTTTTGTGCTTCTTTTACATGTTCTCATTGCCAACATCACCTAGAACCTGTAATCTCTCCCCACCTTGGCTTTTCTGCCCTTTGCACAGATATTTTTCAGCTGTAACTTGAAGCAGATGAGCACCAGGCCCAGCGCGTGGGGACGCGCAGGGTGGGGGTGCTGCAGATTCTCTGGGTCCCCACCCAAAGCATATAACTGACCATCGCTTTTTCCATTTTGGCTTCTTAACAAGGTCAGATGAGCTCAGATTGAGGTCACACCCTGAAGGGGATGTTTGCCGTGCAAAAACTCACACCCTGGCTCAGTCTGGGGGTGTGAGTGTGGGGTGGGGAGGTGCATAGTTTCAAGCACTGCTAGCTTTATCCAGTGAGAAGACCCAATGGGGAAGCCCACAGAAGTTCAAGATAAAGGTTTCATCAACCAACCAACCAACCACCCAACCAATCAGCCAACCACCCAACCACCCAACCATGGTGTGGAAGGAAACCAAGCCTGGGGAAGTCTTGCCCAGGGCTGTTGAATGGGCAGATAAATTATGAGGAAATAAGTTAGCTTCCTGGAGTCTGGTGCAGAGTTTGGGCCAGATCTGCAGTCTTAATTGAGTAGATGTGCCCAAAATGCTGAACTCTTGTGACCAAAGTGACTGAAGCACTTGGGCAGACCTGAAGCCTTAGGGGATGTGCTCCATCTAGCTGAAGCAGGCTTTGTGTGGCGGTGTTATGGGTGGTGTGAGGACAAATCAAACGTAATTCTGTCATCTCAGGCCTTCAAGGGTCATCCTGTGGAAAGAGATTGCAAAGCCCTCTTCTATTCATGCTGTAGGGCCCAGTGCTCCAAAGAGCCAGGTGCTCTGCAGTTTGAGAGATGAGCGAGCCAGCAAGCTCTTAGATATAATGCCTTTGCTCTGGGAAAGAGCACTGGGCACACTGTGTGTGGGATGGAGCAATGAGGGGCAAACACAGAAAATGAGATATTTTGAGTTTGTTCTTTAAAACTGCTTGGGTGGGGGAATCAACCTTGCTTTTTCCAAACAAAGATAGTGAGGGCTTTGAATGCCTGAAAAAATCATTCAGCAGCAAGAATTTTTTCATTTTTAGTGAAATGAAAATTCCAGTCCATGAGCAAGGGATAGTGGGAGGAACTGAGTCAGAAATCAGATTTACAAAAATTTAAAAAGAAAATAATAATTATTTTTTTTTTGGAGAAAAGGGTAGGAATATTTTTAATAGGCAGAATTAATTGGAAGCCATAGGGTAAGGCTTTTGAAGAACCAACTGCCCCAATCTTAGCAAACAGTGCTACAAAATTTAGAACAATTTTGAAGACTGCTTTGAATTCCTCCTACGTAAAAGAAAACTAAACAGCAGTGGTCTCTGGGCAGTTTAGAGTTTAGAATCAACACCTAGGCCACAATGACCAGCTGACACAGACTGGGATACAAACACTCCACACAGTTGTTCTGCATGGGATAAGCTGGTTGGTCAGTTGTGTGAGGGCTTTTGCACCCTGGGAAATATCAAGGAGGCGTCTTCCTCTGAGGGACACACTATGGCAGGGGAGAGAGATTGTATAACTGGGTGTGCAGCCCTAAGGATGACTAGGAGGGGATTTGGTCTAAATGGAGAGAAACTTCTAGAAAGAGAGGGAGGACTAGGTTATGTGCAGAGTGAGAGAGATGTTTTGTCCTTGTGAAACTGGAGGTGGGGAACGTACTAAATTAAGATATCTGAAGTTGCTATTCCTCTGATCTGCAAAAGGTCCCCAGTTGTCTTTGTGGTTGCATGAATTTATTCCCTCAAAATATTGCTGCAAAGCACACACACACCACACACACACATCTCCATCTTTCTCTCTGCCCCCATTCCCTTTCCTCCCTACTTTTCTTCTCTCTTCCTTTTTTTTCTTCTTCTCCAGCTCTGACAAGTTTTATTAATGAAAATACCTGTAGGATTACTTTTCACCAGTCTGTTCAGGTGTACTTCAAAATCTCAGATCATCTGGGTCAGTGTCAGCCTGGGTACATCCTCCATACTATTCTCCACATGCTGGGCCCAGTTCCATCTCCTTCCCTTTCGTGGTGTGGGAGGCACCTGCGTCCAGGGCATAGCACTCTGCATTTTCTTGAGGCTGGGTAACTGGCAAAGACGATCAGTCTGGCTTTGCCTGTTCTGGTACCTTCAGAGTCTGCTTGTCCCCCAACGTGTACTTCCACTTGTCTTAATGAGCCTGGAGTCCACGGACTCCACAAAGAAGCTTCTTTGTGGCCACCCCATTCCTGCCTCAGGTGTGGGATGGCCTCCAGCCAACAGTGGCTTCCTAGACTGTCAGGGATAGAGAACGGCAAAGTGCTGGTTCTTAGACATTCTGGGTCATACAGTTTTTGAAAATTATATGCAGACCTTCTCCTCAGAAATTCAGATGAATTCCCAATGTGACCATTCGGGTAGTTCATGAGATCCTGGGTTCAGGTTAAGAATCCTAGCTCTATTAATGAGGATTAATTAGGATTCTCCCTATTTAACACGTATTCTTGGTGTGGAATAAGCCCCTAGTATAATCCAGGACCTCCAAACTGTGTGCTGTACCTTTTACAAGGTCCTTTCCCCTAAAAGGCTTTGACAGTCACATGATTTTCTTGCTCAGAGAACAAGAGGATGATTTTGGTCCTACTTACTTAGATTTGTTTTCTAATACGTACTCATTGTTTCTAAATACATACCTGCTAAATAAACCATGGAGCCCTAGGGTGATGGTATGATTTAATAATGGCCACCAAGAGCTATAAAGCTCCCTTGAGAGCCTGCTTTAAACATATTTGTCTTCCTTTGCAGCATTTGTGGCAAGATCTTTATAGTTATTTTTTTCTCTTTCAAGCTCTGGACTTCCATCTATGTTATCACAAAAGCCTGCTCAGAATAACTGATGTATGTAATTCTTATCCAAGAAGCTATTCATTCAAAGTCCAATTCACCATTAACTATCTCGCGAGCACACACGTGCACATGTGTGCACGCATCTACAAGCACATTCCCATCCTTTTTCCTGTAATGCATCCTCTAAGTGACATGTAACGGCTACATCTGGCAGAGAGGACCTCTAATTCCTTCTTTCGGCTGGTGCCTTGGCATGAAAGAGGTGGCTTAAGTAATCAAAATAAGTGCAAGAATCATAATGGTGGCGGCTAGTATTTACTTGAGTACCAGGAAAGGTGTAAAGTATTTCACAGATATTATCCCACAAAAGTTTAAAAAGTCAGCACTATTTTGGTTGCCATTTTTTTATCGACAGGAACATAGAACTCAGAAAGATTGGACAATTTACCTAAGTAAGATGCTGGGGGCCATAGACCCAGGCCTTCTAAGTAACCCTGTATGACTGCAAAGCCGATGCTTTCAGCAAATTGCCACTACCTTGAAATAATTCTGCCTTCCGGTAGCCCACAGCAGCTTCTCACACTTCTGGAGCCCACAAATTGATACCTGGGATTCCATTTTGTATAATCAGCCTAAAAGAGGGTGTAAGTGCTCAGGTTTTAAGGATGACTCTTAAGAGCCAGGGTTTAACCTGTTGCTGCCCGCAGCCATGGCTGTCAGGGAGATGGATGACAATCACAAGCCCCCTGAACCCTGGGGCAAGCTGCCTGGGCAGAGTACAGCAGAGCTGGAATGGGGCTTGTGCGGTAAAGTAGGGCTAGAACATGCTCAGAGGGGGAGCTGGGTGAAACCTCACCCCCGCCTCACAGAGGGAAGTGCCTGGCTCCATGTGCTGGCCCAGGCCCTGTTGTCACAGCTCTGGGTGGGGCTTGAGGGTGGGTGCGCTGTCCTGTAATCTCTCCTTCCCCTGGAGTCTCAGATGTGGAAAACTGCCCAGGGCAGCAGCAGCCCCTTTGCAAGACACTTCATGACACTGATGAAATAATACCCATCTGTGTATTGAGCTGTGATTTTTTAACAAGCGTCCACAGGAAGTGGGGATGAGTGTGAGTGCCGGGTTCTGCACTGTCCCAGCTGAGTGAGCCTGGGGACAGACTTAATCTCTCTGAATCTCTGTGTGACTCAGTTTCCCAGATTTTAAATGGGAATAATAATCCCCTCAACTTTACCAGGTTGTTTGTGTAATTCAAATGTGCTGGAAAAATATATATAGAACTGGCACATGCTGACAGATGTTAGTTTTTATTTTATTATTAAGTAACTCCATAAGCCAAGTGTTTTGTCCATGTTATTTAATCTGCTAGCCTCCTCATGGAGTATCTTTTGTTAGCTCATTTTTATAGGTGGAGAAAATGGATCTCCTTCAGGCTAAACACTTGGGTGGGGGGGGGGGGGGCGGGTCTTGGAATGATGCTCAGGTCTGAAGATTCTAAGCCACAGGCCATGCTGCCTCTCCTGGCTTCCTTCCTCTGGAGCCTCGCTCTGACTTCCTGCCACAGCCTGGTCTACTTCCTACTCTTAGCTCACCTTGTCATTGTCTGATGCCTGCTTGTCTTCTTGGATGCAGCCAAGTCCCCAAGGCTTGGCTAAGCTGTGACTCCTCCTGGGGTTCTTGTCTTCCCTCTTGCCCAGACCTTGATGGTGTGTTTGGACTAACGGAACCATCTCTCTTGGAGCATCTGTCTCACCTTAATAAATGGCTCTCACCCCAGGCCTCTCTCCCTTGCTCCCTTGCATTTAAGTAACCAGGACACAACCCACTGGAGCTTGGACACAGAATACAAGGAACTATACATTTTTTTGGCATTTGTACATTTGAAGGATTTACCAGTTTGTAAGTCTCTGAGTGGCAGGAATTGTGTCATACACCGGTGTTTCTCAAAGTTTAAATAAGCATGCAAGTCTCCTGGGGATCTGGATAAACATAAATTCTGATTGAATAAAA